AATTTTAGTTCTGGGTCAATATATTCCGAACTATGATGTTATAAAAATATATACACAACGGAATATTATGCATGTAAAAATATAAATTTGTATGCAGCAAAAATGTTTTTCTCTCAGCATCACTTTTATGTTAAAATAAATTTTTGGGCTTCAGTTTCTATGCACACTATGCTACTGACCAATGATTGTAACAAATGTAGAATAACTACTACTCTTTTAAGTATAAAATATGTAGGTTTAAAGTGAGAAACCATCAATTATAACTCATTTTTTATACAGTTTCCAATTAATAAGTTAAATTCTATTGTAATTTCTTTAATATGAATTTTGCATTAATGGTGTAATTTTGGTAATCTCCTCCGTTCAATTGCAATCGATAACTGCAGAAATTAATTAAAGCGTTCCTTAATGAGATATGGAACACTATTCCTGTGAGTTTAACTACACTTTTTTATTTTATATTTGCAATTTGATTAAAATATATAAACTTGAACGTAGAATTTTGAAGATCACATGACTATGAAGACTATGAAAAGCACATAAAGCTCATTTTTATCACAGTTTATACTTCAAAAATTGTCAATTTCTACTGAATCTTCTATAACATGGATTTTGCATTAATGTGTTATATTTGTGACTTTCTATATCCAATTGCAATCGATAACAGCAGCAATTAATTAAAGGGTTCCTTAACGAGATATTGAACAGTATGAACAGTATTTCTGCAAGTCTGAACGTTTTCGCAAAGAAAACAAACTCAACTTGCATATTTGATATCTAAGCGTCAATACTACATTAATCATTTTCTTCGGGTTGACAAACAAGGTTGTGCTAATTAGAGTTTACAATAATTTCCAATAATTGTTAGAGGGTTTTGAACACAAAAATACATATAAATTAACTCATAACCGTATGGCGTTATCATTTTGATACCAATAAAGGTAAGAGCAGTAAAATCAATCAAACGAATGAAACAATTTAATTAATAGGATTACTCCCAAAAATCTCGGTAACTCTATTACCATCAATCAGCATGTATCAATCAGTTGAGTGCTGTCACATGTTTGGAAATTGCTAGTTTATATAATACGGATTATTAGCGAAAATTTTATTCGCAAATGGAAATGTACTCTGATTAATAAACGAAATTGAGTATATATCATATATGAGAAGTTGGTAAACAGAGTAGACCATTACAAATTACATGAACGCCATTAGATCGAGTCGAAAAAGTTGTTTTTTCAAATGAATTGATATTAACCATTTAGATTTTTCATAAAACGTTAAAAAAATGTTGCCAAACTTCAGAGCTAGATAAATGTTTAATGCGATTTAACGACAGACATAAATATTATGTTTATTCCAGTTTGATAACATAAGTTAGTGAAAAGTCGTCCTATCCTTACAGTATCTCAGATTGCTTCAATTTGTGAGATGATCTACTCTGGTTACCAACTCCTGGTGATAATCTATATCTCAATCAAAAATTTTGTTATCAAACACATGCCAGCAAAAAATTTTGTTCTAAACAAGCATGATTACATATTTTGTGTATACATGTACATAATGTGTAGTATTGTACAAGTGCTGAGTTAAACTCCAAGTCGATTTAGGGAAGAATAGTGTTTTTTCCATTGCCATTTTAACAGCGCAGTGCACGAAATGGGCTATTTTCGATTGAAAACTTTGAGCTATATTTTCAAGTGAAATTGATATCACTGAATCATGATATCAGGTATCCATAATATCAAGAACAGGGGTTTGAACTCAATATATATGTATATATACACATTCCACATATATTACATGCATAATAATAACATACGGCTTCATTACAGGATACGATTATCGGAATCGTTTCCAATCTGATTGCATTCCTGAGCTAAGCGCGCCAATACCATATTAACAAGCAACTGTGCACAAATAGAAGCACGTACTTGATAGATATATAATAGAGAAGATTGGCTGCAACTGTAACAGCATACTAGATAGCAAACAATAAAAAACACGAGTTTAAACTTAGTTTACTACTACTAGGAACCATATTTTGTTGTGCACAGAACTGCTCGACACAAAATCAAGTAAAAGATAAAGAATTAGAGACAAAGTTCAAAAAGTTACTAAAAGCATTAAACAAAGCTTGTTGAATTGAATGAAAAATTGTCATTATAAAGAGACAAGAACCGGCCGTAGCTAAGCGCCTGGAGCCTGATGTCAATCAGTAGTGATATCGGTCTTTACTTTAAAATATAGATAGCAATATGTTTCCAAGTGACCGCCCAACTGACATTGTTGCATTAAAAAAGTTTTACTATAAATCATAAATAAATCAATAAAAATATTGATCACTTAAAAACGAGACAACAGTTTGAGTTGCTATCTATAATGAAGCTAGTAGTTAGTAAGTAATTCATCACAACAGTTTTTAGAACTCAAGGTCTAATTGCTGTCCAAATAATTCAAAAAAAAAAAAAACAATAAAGAGAGGAGTAAAGTATTGTCGTATGATTAAATTACATAACTATAAAATGATTAATATTATCTCTGTCCGGTCTTCTCTATAAACACTCCACATTGGACAATCTCATTCTAAAGCCCTCGGGCAGTGCACAGACTCTGGGTGACATTTCTGCAGTATAATCGTATGTAGATATGGTCAACATTCAACAGGTATAAACCTTTCTATAACAAATTCCTCGGGCGTTTAAACGCTAACGGAAATAGTACCTCCTTGAATTATTAGGATATGTACATGTGGAATTTTTAGTACGATTTCGAAAACGTTCTTTCAGGCTTTAGGGCATACTTATAATTGTATCATGATTTGAAAAAATATATGATTAGAAATTTAATCGACAACATTAGTAATGGATAATAAAATCAGATATTTAATATGTATCATTAGGTCAGAATTTGTATTATTAGGCCTTTTGAATTGGAATGTGAATATTGAGTGACAGAAGATGTAAATCAAGCTTTAGAAAACTGATTATATTGACAATACGTTCCATTGGATTTAAAATGCAACAATTTAAATTTTGAAAGCATTATCAAAATTAAAATCTAACAAGAATAACACATAGTGAACATAGTATTTACACGATAAGAAGTCTGCATGTCCTCAGAAAAAGCGCATATATTTTAGTAACCAAGTAGGTACATGAACAGAACTGCCAAAGACATATTTCGTTCACAGTGTTGGGAAGCTTTTCCATATAAAGTTACATCGTCTGGTTTCTTTCAAAGACCTAGTATGTAGGAGAGCAAAAAGATGTAACCACTTAGGTGAACGAGCAAAAGGCAATCTATTGAGAGATATATCTGACGCAACATACGGCAGCAAACGAAATCGGGTCGCTGATTCAATTGAACAAGTTTGCCATACCTACATATTCCAGTTTCAAATCTGGCATATAAATGTCGTTGAGATGTGCCACGGGTAAGATTCGCAAAATGATCCTTAAGTTAGGTTTATTGAAGGAATACTACGGATATATGATGAGATTATTGAAATGATTTCCATTTGTTTGAATTCGGCAGATTTATTGAGGAAGCAGATCGTGAAATGGAATCATAATAAATTCAGATTTGCGAATGGAAAATAACGAAAATTCAGTTTATTCTTGGCGTTAATGCTCTTAGTTTAGTTCTTTTTGTTGCAATGAAAATCTTTTTTGATACTTATTTAATACCATCAGAAATCATATTAAAGTGCAAAACACTTTGCTGTATACTGAGGCAGTTGATCTCGCGTGTCCTTGAATTATTGCATCTCTGGAATTTTGCAATTGCCTGTGAACGTGTACCTACGGATGCTGTATTGCAATTAGTGAGATCATGCCTTTAGTCGTATCAATACAGCTCGAACCTACCATTTTTCAGAAAAGTACTTTCTGGGAATTGTAAAAATAACAGAAATCCTGACAAGGAAATTATTCGAACAAGATCCATTTTTAATAGTTAAAATATAGGAATCTGTACAACAACTGTTTGTTCAGATATCGTAAGAACTTTTTGCGTGCAATTAGCAATAATCCCATGTCACAAAAATTAATTTCAGCTACTGATGATACACATAGTATTTGTATATGGCATATTTTATTCTAAAACGACATAATTTTACCTCTTGACGCGACAAGAAGGTTTCCAGAATATGCATCAGATAAAATTATGTGGATTAGATGATGAAATAAATATATTTTATTTATGCAAACCGCAAAAATTATGTCGTGTGAGTTCAAGCTGCTGCAATGATCGTTAACTACTTTGGCTAACATAGGGAAATTGTTATAATCATTATTAACCAAATTAATTTCATTATTAACTGAAAGGATTGTACTTTCAAATGAAAAAAGAAATTTGAGAAAATATTCAGTAGTTTGTAAAAAAAATATTTGGCGGACCCTATAGTTGATGATATATTTATTGTTTACAGTACAAAATACTAAGAATAATATAAATTGCTACCTGAAACATGAATTGTCAATTTTTTGATGTTAGAAGTCTTGCATCAATGTAAATGTATGTTATATTTTTTCCGTTTAATATTAATGGAACGAATATATCTGTCATTGCCTGAGCATAAAATGTTAATAACTCGTATAATACTTCTATTCTTAGAGCAAAAGAAGTTACCT